TGGGCACAGCGGTCGGGCTGAGTCACCGCGCCCGAACGGGCGCTTGGGGACGCCCGGGCCGCTCTTCGACCTTTGCCCACCGCCCTCCTTCCCGCTCTCTCGGTACAGTGAGGCCCAACCAGACCTGGGGCGTCGTGGGGGCGGCGTCCCCGGCGTGGGGCCCCGAAGACCCACTCTTCTGGCCTGGGCAGGGAGGGATTGGCCCGCGAGTTCGCAAGGTCTCCTCCTGGCCCTGCCCGCAGTGACAGTCCAGGGATGCAGGGCAGGCCAGCGACCACACCACGCAGGTCCAGGAACCGCAGAGAAACTGAGAGCGGATGGGCCCAGGGCCTGGGGGTGGTCAGAGGAGGTGCTACACCCCTGGGGCTGGCAGGTAGGGTTTGGGTTAGCAGCCCCGGCCCCAGCGCGCCCCACACCCACCGGTGTCGGCCCCGACCTGGCACACAAGGCTTCTGGCTGGGAGCCATCTCCCTCCATAGCCCCAGCATGGGATTCTGGGCAGAGCCCTGTGCTTGGGCCAGCGGCTAGGAGGCCATGTGGTAAGACCACCAGGGAGTGGGCCGAGCTTAAGGGGCCTTTGATGGGCCAGGGGGGCAGTGCCCTGGCCAGTGAACCAGCCTGAACAATTGGGCTGGGCCCGCCGCCCAGGCTGAGGATCTGAGGTCACAGGCCCAGCAAAAGAGGCTTTCTTCAGCTCGGACCCTGGAGGGGTAGGAAGGGGGAGGGGTGGGGGTCCCCAGCCTGGCTCCAGAGGGGCAGCTGGGTGGGGTAGCCCTGGGCTCCAGGCCCCAGTTTCCTTCAGCATCAATCCACCCTCACACCCCAGCCCTTTCTGAGGAAGGAGAAGCACATGGGAGGCCTGGCTGGGAAGACAAAGGCACCGCACAGGACTGGGGCTGTGGCCCACCGGGTCCTCCTGGCCCAGCAGGCAGCAGGAGCCCACCCCCAGCCCAGGCCCAAGGACTGCAGGGAAGGGGAAACCTCACCCCCTGGTGGGAAGGAGGCAGCCCCAGCAGGAACCCAGGCCAGTGTGCCAAGAAGTCAGGCTGGGGGCAGGCAGAGCCAGGGCAAGGCCCAGAGCTGAATGCCACGTCAGATCCAGGGCGGGTAACCCCTCTGGGCAGGAAGTGCCGTCTGGGTTCAGGGCCTTGGACAGTGGACTGGGGGGGGGCTTGTGAACAGGCAGCTGGCAGGAGCTGGGGGTGCGGCCAGCCTCCAGGAGCCAACATCGAGGGAAGGGGGTGCGTTCCAGATGTGCAGCTGTGGCGGGGCCGGGGCTGGGGAGGAGCCTGGGAGCAGCGCCTCCTCCCCCACACAGGCCTCCCAGGGAGGCGCTGTTTGCTGCGGATAGAGACTAGGTGTCCTGCCTGGGTCTCCCAGCAGAAGCCCGTCTCCCAGTGTCCAGTGGCCGAGACACCTGCACTGGCAGAGTCCTTTCTTCATGGCCTCATCTATTCAGTCATTTCAGCGAGCCCTTGCTTAGCACCTCCTGAAAACCAGGCCCTGGGCACACAGGGCAAGAGATGCTGGTGATCCCCAGGGTGTGGGTGAGGCCTGGGAAATGCAGTGGATGTGGAGGTACAGCCTCGTGCATGGGGCCCACAGCAGTCCAGGAAGACAAGGACAGCAGGATGGGCTGCCAGCATCCGTGGGTGGAGCACCCCACCAGGTGGCAGGAACCCACCTGGGGTGTTTGTCTCACCTTGCTTTTCTTTGCAGTTTTTGTTGTTGTTTGAGGCAGGGTCTCACTATGTAGTTCAGACTGGCCTTGAACTCACTAGGTAGACAAGGCTGGCCTTGAACTTGATCCTCCTGCCTCAGCCTCCTGGCGTGCTGGGATTACAGGTGTGCCACCATGCCCAGCCTTCTTTGTAGTTTACCACTTGTCAGTGCCTCCGTAAGTACTATCCCAGGCTGTCTCCTCATTTTCAACTGTATACCACACATCCTCGTATGGATATCCTTCAGTAGCTTGCTCCTTTCGCTCGTGTTGCTTTTGTTCTTCTTCTTGTTGTTCCTTTTGTTTTTTTGAGCACAGTCCTGCTAAAATCACCCAGTGTGGCCTCAGCCTCGGAATCCTCCTGCTTCAGCCTCCAGAGGAGCTAGAATTACAGGTGTGCAGCACCCTACCTGGCTTGCCTTGCATTTCTGAGATAGGTCTGTTGACAGCTGAAAGTGTAGCTTGTGCTCGTTGCTGGCCGGCTCTGGTTGTGTAACAGCAGCAAAGGGACCCACCACACTGACGAAGGTGTGCACAGCACACATCGCCTCCTGCTTTTCTGACTGCTGCCTGGGCCTTGGCACACTTTGAGCATTTCTTGGGGACAGTCTGCCAGCAGAAATCCTGGTGCCCTGAATGTGTGAGCTTCCTGCAGGTACCAGCCCTTCCCAGCCACTCTGCCTCTCCACTCTGGACACCACTGAGAGCAAAGTGACCCTCCTGAGGCCTCGACAGGCTCTCCTCTGCTCTCAGACCAGTGCCTCCTTCTCTTCTGCGGCCACTGGCCATGCCTGTTCTCTTTCTAGGGTTGCTTCTCTGGCTGCAACCCCTTCCCGCTTGCTGCCGGCGCCTGGCCACAGGATCAGGATGGGCAGCTCGCGACCAGCTCGCCTGGCCTTCATGTCCAGCGCCTTGGCATGCCCAGACCTAGGGAGACATTTCCCTCTCGGCTCCTTGTGTGGATTTCCTGAGCTGTACAGCCCTTCCTGTCACACAGACAGGTGGAACAGCTCCCCAAGCTCCCTAAAAGACTGAAATTCTGTCAGTCACAATAGTGTGGAGTTAATTACACCTTCCAGGGAATGCGGAATGAAAGGCTTTAAAGTGTCGAGTCTTTGTCTGAAATCATGGCTTGTTTCTCCACGTGTGGCTTCTCTTTTACGTCTTCAAAACTTAAAAAAATAGTTTTCTCAGGAGCTATGTATGGTGTACTCTTCTGTGATCCCAGCACTCAGGAGGCTGAGGCAGGAGGATCACCACAAGTTCAAGGGCAGCCTGAATTATATGATGAGACCCGCTCAAAAAAACAAAAACAAATACAACCTTTTCAGTGGCAGAGCCCTTGCCTAACACACCCAAGGTCCCGGGTTCAGCACTCAGCGCCTCAAAGCAACAAACAGCACAAACTCCTCCTCCTTCAAGGCTCACACATATTTTAAACTAAGATTTAGTACTTAGTACATTTCATTTTGTTGTTTTCTTTCTCCCTTCCTTTTTTGCAGTACTGGGAATTGAAAGTGGGGTCTAGGATTCACCGTGAGCTATGTCCTCAGCCTTTTTGTGTGTGTGTGTGTGTGTGTGTGTGTGTGTGTGTGCGTGTGTGTTTAGACAGGGTCTCCCTGCATAGTTCAGGCTGGCTTTGAACTCACTGTGTAGTCCAGGCTGCCCTCAAACCTGCAGTGATCGTCCTGCCTCAGCCTCCCCAAGCACACCCACATGCCTGGCTTCCCTTTGTTAATATTTTATTCTGAGTCAGGGTCTTGCTGAGTTATCCAGCCAAGACTCAAACTTGTAGTCTTCCTGCTTCAGCCTCCTGAAGAGCTGAGATTACAAGTGTGTACCACTGTACCCAGCATATTTTATTGTTTTAAATTAATTTTTCTAAAGATGTTTTGTTGTTTTATAGAAATATAATGGGCTTTTTAACCTAAAAGTAATTTTTAAATCACCTTGTTGAAAGTCTTATTGACTCTAACATTTTATCAATAAAAATTTTGAATGGAATTGACCATAAAGGAATTATTTTATTCCAGATCATAAAAGAGAACATTTTCAACATTTCATCATTAATCATGTTTGCCATAGAATTTTTTGGTAAATTCTTACTTTCTAAAATTTCTTTTAAAAATAAACAGATGTAGCCAGGTGGGGTGGCACACGCCTGTAATCTCATCACTCAGGAGGCTGAGGCAGGAAGATTGCTGTGATTTTGAGACCAGCCTGGGCTACAAAGTGAGTTCCACATCAATTTCAACTATATAGTGAGATCCTGTCTCAAATCCACCCCAAATAAAAAATAAAATAAATAAACAGATGTGAAGGTCCTGGGATGTGGCTCAGTGTTGCCACGCTTGCCTGGCAAGTGCAAGGTCCTGAGTTTGATTCCCGGTAGGGGTGAGAAACATAAAAAATGGACAGGTGTGCATTGACATGAAGAGCTTGCTTGTTTGACAGTCTTTCTAGAGCAGGTTCAGGCTCGAAGCAAAGCAGGGAAGAAGGCGGGGGTCTCCCCATGCCCTCTGTGGGGGCTGCGGGCCACTCTCGGGGGCCCAGCTGCAGTGCCAGCACACCCTCACGTGGGTCCCGTGTTGGGGTGCCCTGTCACAGCACGGCCGGGCGTGCTCCGTCCTGCCAGCCCCACAGCCACTTCTGCTCCCTTCCACTCCTCTGACCTCCTGTCAGTCACGTGTGTTCGTTTGCTTTCTTTCTTCTCAAGCAGGGCAGCTCAACTCTTTTCAACACCGAGTAATATTCCAGTCACTCCATCTCACAGAATGCAGCTTCGTGAGCTTTCATCTTTAATCCCATAACTCATGAAAGTATACTTTATTTATTTATTTATTGGTTTCTTTTTAGACAAGTTCTCACTATGTAGTTGAGACCGATGACCTGGAACTCACTACGTAGCCCAGGCTGGTCTCAAACTCACAATGATCCTCCTGCCTCAGCTTCCTGAGTACTGGGATTACAGGCGTGCGCCAATATGCCCAACAAAAGTACACTGTAAATGTCAAACTCAGTGCGTGCCCTGGGTCAATCTGAGTGGCACCTGCAGAGCTGTCTTACTTTCCGCTCTGCACGGGACAGCGTGTCCCTGCCTGGTATGGCCTCCCTTGGTTCCCTGTCTAGGTCCCACCCTCGCACTTGTCCCTTGCATTTGGGTCATCTGCTGCTCCAGTGCATGGCAGACTTTGTCTTGAAAACATCTAGGCCTGAGATCTTCTCCACACCACCACTTCCTCTTCCTCCATGGTTATGGGGTCCGACAAGTTTTCTAGTTCTTTCTTTGGTTTTTTATTTATTTATTTATTTTTGTTGTTCTTTGAGACAGGGTCTCACTATGTAGTTGAGATTGATGTGGAACTCACTTTGTAGCCCAGGCTGGTCTCAAAATCACAGCGATCCTCCTGCCTCAGCCTCCGGAGTGCTGGGATTACAGGTGTGCGCCACCACGCCCCAGCTCCTTTCTTTGTTTTTAACAAATTTTATTTTACCCCTCCCCTCCGTATCCCCCATCCCCACTCTATGTGCAGGAGTTTTGCTTCCATTCTTCCTTCTATTTTCACTCTTTCATTGTCCTCTCTTTCCTCCTCTCTTCCCCGTTTCCCTTCCCATTTGAACATTTTTTTCCCACTTCCCAACATCCATTATGCATTTCGGTCCTTATTTCCACTTTTGCTTTTTCACACCAGAGAAGTAATGCGGTATTGGTGTGTCCGATTTATTTCACTTAAGGGTGTGGTCTCAAGGTCCGTCCATTTA